TTCTGTTTGATTACAACCAAAGATTTAAACCTATTTTGGAGGTAGCACCTGAATGAGGGAGGTCTTAGCTATTCTGGGCAGGGGTAACATTGATGCCCCTTTCCCCTCTCTAAGGATCTTGGTTTTGCTGTGCTGTGGCATGAGAAGGATTTTGAGGTATCAGACTCCTTTGTAGCAGGAAAAACAATTTTTATGTTGAGCTTTGTGAATTGCTTAACATCTCAGAGCTTCCATACCCAATCTGTAAAATGAAAGGAGAAGGATTATTTTGTTTTGTTTTCTCAGTCGCTGCCTGGGCTTGGACTTCGGGACAGATATATCTGTGTGCACAGTGTCTGTTGTAATGCTGTGCTGATTGGTTAATGTCCTGTTATTGCATTGTGGAAATCAATATCAAGACAAATACTTGTCAAATTTTGTCCTCTTTTAGGAAAACATTTATAGTGAGTTGATATTGAAATGCTGAAACCATTTCCATCTCTAGCACAAAGCAGTGATTCGTAATTGAACAGGAATCTTTCAGGCTTTGCATATGAAGTTGTATCTTGTGAGCCATGTGAGTATTTCCAGACCTTTGTAAAGCGTGGCTGAGACGTGGTGCTTGTGCAGCAGAGCTGCTGATCCACTGCGGTTACTTGTCCTGTGCAGGGAAGTGAGAGGCAAGGACTTGGCCAAGGCCTCCTGGCAGATGCTGCCAGAACAAGGGGTTGGGTCCAACATCTTTGAACTCGACTCTGTTGCCCTCTTCTTCACTTAGGGAGAAGGTTAAGTGTGAGAGACAGACCCATGCCAAATCCAGCTAAGCAGTTGTTAGGAGGCAGCAGTTGCAATAAAAGCCATAGGGCCCAGTTTCTCCTGGGATTATCCTCCCTGAGCAGTTTCTCTCAGAACAATGTCCTGTGTACAAATTAGAGATTTAACTCTGAACATGAAGAACTTGCTGTAGGGGCCATGCTCGATGTTCCCTGTCCTGAAGAAGGCAGGATAATTCACTGTCCCAGGAAGGCAGGGAAAGGGATGCAGGTAGAGCTGCCAAGCAAAATAAATACTGTGGTATAAGTTATTGCCACTGGGAGTGGGGGGAAATGGAAACTGAAAGGCAGAGAATGATACAGCAATGCAAGTAAGAGAGATGGAGTGATCAGATGGAAATGAGATCCAGGGTAAGAGAAATTTAAAGCTCTGGGCCCTCCAACATCAGAACGATGTCAACTGGTTGGAGCGAGTCCAGAGGAGGCCACGAAGATGCTCAGAGGGCTGGAGCCCCTCTGCTGTGGGGACAGGCTGAGAGAGTTGGGCTTGTTCAGCCTGGAGAAGAGAAGGCTCCGGGGAGACCTTATAGTACCTTCCAGTACCTGAAGGGGCTACAAGGAAGCTGGGGGGGGACTTCTTACAAGGGCCTGTAGTGACAGGACAAGGGGTAATGGGGTTAAATTGAAAGAGAGGAGGTTTAGATTGGATATCAGGAAGAAATTCTTCCCGGAGACAGTGGTGAGGCACTGGCACAGGTTGCCCAGAGCAGCTGTGGATGCCCCATCCCTGGAAGTGTTCAAGGCCAGGCTGGACGAGGCTTTGAGCAACCTGGTCTAGTGGAAGGTGTCCCTGCCCATGGCATGGGGGTTGGAACTGGATGGTCTTTAAGGTCCCTTCCAACCCGAACTATTCTGTGATTCTAAAAGCCCAGCTGCACACTGCAGAGAAATCTGTCTGCTGTTCGGAACATTCCATAAGTCTCCAGATTTTCTGGGTCCTTTCTCCATTTTCGCTATGCAGCAAGGAGGCAGGGAGGCACTGCCCTCAGCTTTGGTCTCCACTGTCCACTATTTATTTCTGTACCCAGCCATGACTGTACATGGATCAGGTCTTTGCTCTGGTGGCAGCAGCTGCTGCTGTGGGTCATCACCATGGGCTGTGAGCCTCTGCTCATGCATTTCAGCGATCTGTAGTAGCCTTGTTGGCATCGCAGGGCCTTTTGCTGCGTCTGGCGTAGCATACACCATATGAGGTGGGTGTGCCCTGAGAAGAGGAAGGGATTTATTTCACACAACTCAGGAAACTTCCTTGATTTGAGCCATTCATCGCTCCGAGTTTGCGACATTCTTCGGATATCACCCAGAAAGTGTTCGTACTTTCTGTATCTTTTCCAGATGTTTCTTGATGTCAGATGGAAAACAGGACTGCTGTGTCCTCGCTTTGCTCAAGAGACAGGCATTTCTCAAAAGACACTCCCTAAACTGGTGAATACCATCTAATCCTGTATTCTAGCTCTAAAGGTGACACAGGATCAGAGAATAGTATTCATAAAATAGCAGAGAGAACTTTGCTTGCAGCTGGAGATTGTTATCAAAGTGATGGTGGGACTGATCGCGAAACTCTCAGCCTTGGTGTAAGCATACACAGTCTATACAAACCCTGTTTTTTCCATCTGCTGCCATTTTTTTCTTTTTCCTTTTTTCCTGTTCTGCCTTTTCTCACTCTAGTCTGGGGAAATGGAAGAATCCTTTGTTTCTAGGTTGTCCTCAGTAACCACATAAGCTTCCATCAAACGCTGATAGCACAAGTATCTCTCCATCAAAAAAAAGACTTTATGCCTTACAGGACATGTCTAAACTGGTACAGGCTGTAAAATATCTAGAGTTTCTTATTTAATTAAACACACATCAAAAGAACCATTTCCACTTCATTTTAAATACTGTTTTTCTGGAGGAACCAGGGAACTTCCTTCTCTGCAGTGAAAACTGTTGGGTACGTAAATGTGTTTTATCACTGCTTATTTTTAATAAGCATTGCTAAATAGTAACGGTTAGCCTAATAATTTGGCCATCACTAGGTTTTGGTTTATTTTTTTAAACAGCTTTTCTCATTGTAAAATTGGTTACAAAACTTGTTTGTGCTCATGTTAAGTATTATCAGTAGCATCAAAGAAAAGTGAACATGCAATTCCAGCGTTGAATGCCCTTGCCCAAAAAGGTACTTGCAACTGCTGTGAAGACCTGTTCTTTCACATGGCTACGTAGATCAGAACCGACTTTGAAATTGTCTCGTGCACACTAAGATGTGCTACTTTCTGTATGTGATTTTTTTTTGGTTTTTAAGCTTTAAAACTTTCCAAGTCATGAAATGTTATGAGACAACAAAGTTTCACCAGTAGGTGTTGTAAGTTGATCCTGTGTAAGTGTTCTTCAACGAGACAGCCTAGGGATTGTGTAATTATAGACCATGGCACAGGGAGACGTTCATAAATGGCTGATCTGTAGCTAAGAATGGTTTTGAGGTGTAACCTTCAGACGGGCTTGGATGCATGAAAATGATTTTGCAGAGTGAGTGAGTAGCTATTAGTAAGACAAGATGAAAAATGGTTTTGCCCCGCCAGCTGACCTTCTGCAGCTCAGGGTTGGTTTTCAACAGAGAAGCGCTAGCAAGAAGGAGAATGGGTTATGCAATTTGTTGTTGTAATTTGCATATTTATTCAAGTGCATCTTCCCAGTGACCTCCTAATAGCAGAGCAGTGTCAGGTGACAGCGCTTCTGCTGTCGCTGATGTCTGCCAGGGTATCAGGCTGGCTTGTTCAGGAAACGGGAAGGGTCAGCTTGGGTTCCTATCCATTCAAAAGTCATCAGTGGGGCTGTAGGGGAAAAAAAGCCTTCTTACCTGACTCAAAACCAGTGTACATCTTTAATTTCATGGAGTAGGGTAGAGGGTCTAGGAGAGATGGGCAGCAAACCAGGTGTTCCCAAGGATCTGGTGTTGGTGAGGGTGAAAATCTCTTGGTTGCTCATGCCAAAGCTGGTGAGTCGTGCCTGGCACTGATGAGGACTGGTTTTGGTTACAGCCACAGTTGAGACATCCCTTCTGCCACTCTTGCAGTTATTGGTGACGTACCCATGCAGTGAAACTCGGGGGGAGGGAACTACTCCTTTTGCAAATAATAGAGCAGCTTTCACAAGTGGCAGAGCCCCGGGACAGAAATCGGAATGGACTCTGCTGCTTGTCTGCGCAGTGCAGAAGCTGCTGTAATGTGGAGCGGAAGGAAGCATCTGGTTTCATGGTCACCAGCAGCTTACAAGACCCAGGGGTCTTTACCTGTTTCCTGATGAATTGTCTGCAGGTTGAGATTTGCTGGAAGGATGACCATTGCCTTAATACCAACGTGTGATTTTTATTTTTTTTTTTTTTTAAACTGTGTTCTCAAATTCAGGCTCATTTATATTAATAAACAGGTTGTGGTATTGCATCATGCCAGATGGATATTTGAAATAATTTGCTCTTATCCAAATTCTGAAATATTCTTGCAGCTCAGCTGGATCAAATTAAATCTTAATTAAAATAAATAATGTGTTTACTTGAATCAAAACATTGCAAAGCAATAAGCCAGTGCATTAAATAAAAATTTGGGAAAATCTTGCAATGTAAACATGCTAGCTATACAAGATATTTTTGAGAACTAGATTTCTGTTAGGGTTCTGTTTGCATTTTACTTTAAAAAAATGCTTTTGAACACTTAAGGACTATAAACTTCTGCTGGTACATGATCAAGGTGAGTCTCCTGGAAAATACACTCAGCCTTAGAAGTAGTAGCAAGTGGAGCAGAAGCAGTCAGGCAGGAGCAAGCAAGAATATCTTACTGCAGTGTTTCCTGGAAGTTGACTACTTTCTGCTCCCTTTCCCTTTTAAAAATACATGTTTTTATAGAATTGGAGTATGATTTTCCTGTATGTATAGAGAGAATTTTCAATATCCTTTTAATGAATTAGTTTAATGATGGAAAAGATCTAGATAAGGTATCAAGGTTTATGCTCAGCAGTTTCTTCCTGGGGGTAATGAGTTTTGATGAATTTAATAATGTTTAGGGGTTTTAAGTGCTGTCTTATTTTCAAAATAACATCTTACCATGTAAATGTGGTTCCTTTCTTGTTTTGTCACTGATGTCCTTGCCAACCAGATTTCAAAAGCGGAACTCAGAAACATAATTCACTGTCTGTCTGTCTCTCCCTGTCTAGATTATCAGCGTCTGATGACGGTGGCAGAGGGGATCACGACTCTGCTGTTCCCGTTTCAGTGGCAGCACGTGTATGTCCCCATCCTTCCTGCCTCTCTTCTGCATTTTCTGGATGCTCCCGTTCCCTACCTGATGGGGCTGCAGTCCAAGGAGGGAACCGACCGCTCCAAGCTGGAGCTGCCTCAGGAGGTCAGTCTCTTGCTTTTGGCGTTGATCTCCTGAAAGGCGTTACTAATACTCTGTGTGAATCCCTGCTGGAAAGTGCCATGCCCGGTGTTAGGAGGCTTCTCTGGCACTGTGAAGACTGTTTGCTACCAGGAGTTGAGGTACTGGGGGAAGTCTCTGCAGCCCTTCTCAGTCCATTTCTGAATGTCATGAGTGCTGCTAATTGCATTGACTTCTAAATATTTCTCCTGTTTCTTGCTGTGATGATGAAATTTCTCTGCTCTAATCTCTACATCACGTGCTTCACCAGGTATTGTTACTCTTGTCAGTGTCACAGTCCTGTAGACAGAGGGCTGAAGTGCATTTCGTTTCAGGGATGGTCTTTATGAATCTGGATCTCCAGTGCAGTTGCTAGATGGTGTAAACCTGACCCTGTCCCCCACTGAGAAGTGTGCCCCATCCTGCCAGCCTTGTCCTACCCACGGGTGAGCCCACGGGTTCCTGACTGGGTCAGGGGCTGTTAGTAGACCAGCGTCCTGGCCTCAAACGAGCTGAGTTTGCATTAATACCATGCCCGTGAACCACCACACATCCATACTTTTAGAATACTCACTCCGGTGATGGTCTTTTGGACTGAAGATCTTCTGTCTTCCCACGCAGTGGGAATTGAGAACTTTGCCTGCTCTGTCACTTCCTCCCCAGAGAAAAAAAGGGAGGGAAGGTCATCCTCCTAATCTAGGTGGTAGAGAATGAAATGGAACTTTTTCTCCTCAGAATTTGACTGAGAGGATTAAAACTGCTTCACATTTTAGCCTGGCCACAGATCGCTCTCCATACGACAAAGTCGTCGGGATATTGGTAGCCTGTGTGCATTCGAGATGGTGGCTGGACCCATCTCTTGAGCATGCCATGCACTTTATAACTGGGGTTTCTTCTTAAAATCAGTGGGAACCCTACGAATAACTGTTTGTATGGCTGTAACCTCTCATGACCGTGGCACAGCTGGGCTCAGCTCCATGCAGGGACCTCTCCTGGGGCAGAGTCCCTAAGGCTTGCAAATGAAGAGGAGCTGTTACCGAGAGGGCAAGTGGGAGCAGCAGAGGAGAATATGCAGGAGAGGGAGTTTGTATGCAAAAGTCGAGGGATAAACACAGAGCAAGGATAATACATTTTTTAATAAAGGTCTATTTTAAGTATTAAGTGGAGGTGACTTATCCTAGGTGGCATGTAACAGTGCAAATCCAGTCTTTCCTCATGGATACAGTGGCCCAATTGCATGAAAATTGCACTGGTGTGGAAACGAAGCTGGTATCTAGCTATGCTTTTCAGTAAAACCGAGCTAATATTATATAATTACTGTGATTTTTAGAATTATTAGTCATATGCTTTTAGTTAGCAGATAAAGCGCTCATTTTCCTTAAATTAAAATTTTAATGTGATAGGCTTGCAGTCTCACTGGAATAACAAATTAAATATCACCGGTGAGGGAAGAGTAATAGTGTGGTAGAAACCCCCCTCCCTGTTATGCTGTTTAACAAATGAGTGAAAAATATCAGCACACATTTATGAACACCACAGGTCCAGTAACTGTGGGAGAGGGAAAAAAAGAGAAAAGGGGTATGGAACAGGGAAGATCTTGAATCACACATTCCTCTAGACAATAAAAAAGAGAAAATCCTTCGACATGCGAGTGGTTTAGCATTCTTTTATTGTTCAGGCCGGGGCTAGCTTTTCAAGCTCTTGGTCTAAATAGAAACCATTTGTTTGTTAGAGATAAAAATTCTAACAACTGGCCATCATGCTGTCTTAAGGTTACTAATCTCTCTGCATTAACTTTAATCAGCAGATGTTTTTGAAGAGAGAAGTGAGACCAATTCCCCAAGGGTTCTCTGAATCCTAATCTCATTTTTCAAATTTTGTAAATGATATGCAGAGCTGAAATGAAAAAGCCTTTGAAATGAAATATTGATAGATAAGAAGACAGTCCCTGAGCTTAAGAACCGTACCGACGCATACCACAACTCTTTAATAGCTGTGTAGTTAAGTAAAGCGAATTGTTTTATATGAAGGAATGCTTTTCTTTGTGCAGTCCAAATTTATTATCAAAAAGTGAGCTGAAGGGACACTTCTGCTTTATCAGATGAATCCTAATGCCCTTTCAAGTATTTATGTGATTAATGTTAAACACGATTCTGAAATATCCAAAATATGACCATGTTTGCTGTGGTATGTCTTGTGCTGCTGAAAGTTAACCTTTTTGCAAAAGGAGGAAAACAAGCCCTTTTTGGGCATGTAATCTGAAGAGTAGCCCGCAGTGTTGGGTGAGCAGTAAAGAACACTGAAAGTTCCTTGGAGAAGGTGGAGGAGCTGTGCTAATGGCCAAGTCAGACTAACAAAGACCCTGATGCTGCTGCTGCCCTGTGGGTTCCTGCCTCTCTGGTTCCGCAGCTTTGTGCCGGCGCAAAACCCTTTGGAGCTCAGCACCTTGGGAATCTGACCTGGTTTAAGATTTTATTCAGCACAGTGCACTCAGACAGAGAATTTCAGATGTAAGCTGCAGTTCAGAAGATCAATTACTGTTTTTCATTCTGCAAATGCACCCTCAGGAGTAATTGCAATGTAATTAATTTTTATGTAGGGTTCTTCCATCCCCCCCATTGACACTTCCCTAGTAAAAGTATGTGCTCTGCTAGATTCATGTCTTCACTTATCTTTAATCTCATGGGCTGAGATCCATCTCCATGTGTAGCAAAGCTGTCGAAGAGCACTCTTTAAATCTTGGGCAGAGGAATTGCCAAGGTTAAAAGCCTCCATGGAAACAGGGTAAGGGGGAGTGAGGAAATGGGGCTAGACCTCCAGTGGGCAAGCTATACTCTGACATGATCCCAAAGGATTTGCATGGGACCCTGTTCTGTAGCTTTGCTCAGAGCAGCAGCATCTTTCTCGGTGAACATCTTGTTCCTTGGTAACACAGCTACAGAGGCTTTTTGCCTGGTAAAATAAACGTGCCCTTGAGATGCACTAATTCACGCAAATAGTATTTACGTGGGCTGAGAAGTCGTGCTGGGCATCCTGCTTGCTGGTGTGTCCTTGTCTGGTCTGGGAGGGGGCATCAAATCTTTGCAGTGGGAAGTTTAGGATTTGCAAGTCCCAGGAGAGCAGGAGAGGAAAGGAGGCTTTACTTACTCGTTAAATCACTGCCATCCAGTTGACCCCCAGCTTTACTGAAATCTGAAATGTCACAGGCTAGATGACACAGCTTAAGTCTCCTATGTACTCTTGCCCTTTTGTCTGGAAGCACCCTGGGAAAACAGGGCTACTTACCAGAGGAACCAGTTCAGCGCTGAGCATTCATTTTAAAACTTTTCTTTGTATTTCAGGCAAACTTGTGCTTTGTAGACATTGATAACCATTTCATCGAACTGCCAGAGGAATTCCCCCAGTTCCCCAACAAGCTGGAGTTTATCCAGGAAATCTCCGAGGTGCTCCTGCAGTTTGGGATCCCGCCAGAGGGTAACCTGCACTGCAGTGACAGCGCCACCAAACTCAAGAACCTGGTTCTTAGCGACTTGGTCAACGACAAGAAGAATGGGAACATCCCCGGCAATGCCCTCAACATGTACGAGCTGCTGAAAGGCAACGAGACAATTGCTCGCCTGCAAGCTCTCGCCAAGAGAACGGGCGTGACGATGGAAAAAATGACCATCACTGCTCCCCTCGCGGAGAAGAAGGATGGGAAATTGCCGTGTGAGGAGCTGGAGCTGAGGGACTACAAACTGAACGTGCAGCTTCGCGAGGTTTTCGCCAACCGCTTCACGCAGATGTTTGCAGACTATGAGGCTTTCGTCATTCAGGCTGCCCCCGATATGGAGTCGTGGCTGACAAACAGGGAACAAATGCAAAACTTTGACAAAGTAAAGATAGCTATGTATTTATTTTTCCATCTGAAAGTGCTTTTGGGAGGGGGAGACTAGATCCACTGAGCTGGTCAGAGATGTCCTGGCTTGTACGAACCAAACTGGCAGGTGTCTGCTCAGCTGATGGGGCTTCTGCAGTGGGTTTGGTGGAAGGGTAGCAATGGGAACTGACTTCTTCCTTCCTTTCTTTTTTTCTTTGCTGAAAGGATAGGTGTACACATGGGACAAAAAACAAATGCAGTCTTACTTGTTTCCTGATCTCACAGTAGGGCTTTCTGTTAATGAGAAATGTTCTTCTGTAGAAGGTTATCACATCGTTATGGCAGAAGAGTAAGATTATGATTCTGTGGTAGTGTGTACATGAAAGTGAAAAGGAAGCTGAGATTAGAAATGGGGAAATAGACTGTAGGCCAGCAAAAGAAATGAGAAACGTTTGGAAGCTTGCAGAGTTATTTTCAAGTGACTTTGCAAAGTAGATAGCACGCTTAGCCATCAGCTTTTTCAGCTGCAAGTCCTTCTCCAAGGGGAAAGTTAGAGCGGTAAACAGTCAGGAACAGACTAAATATTGATTTGAGTCAGTTTTTGATTAAAAAAAAAAATGCTTCCATGCCTTTCACTGGTCTTGTTTGTATTCAGGAATTGAACAGTGCAGCATTCAAAAGGAGGGGGTTGTTTGGCCAAACTCTGCTAGTACTGCCACAATAAATTGGGCTGTTAAGATTAGGGTTTTCAAAGCTCAGTTAGAGACCTAGGCACTGGCTTGATTGTAATTGGAGTTGATTATGTTTAATTGTCCTGCCTAGCTTCATAAAAGTGCATTAGCTGAAGAGCGTTGTGGACTCCTTGATGTGTTTGACACCTTATGTCACCGGGTGCCAAGCAAGGATGCGCAGACCAGAGGTCCAAGTGGACACACATGGCAGTGGTCGTGCTGTGGGTTGCCCAGGGCTCATTCCTGTGGGTGGTAGCTGCTAGGTTGCTTTGAAAAAGCTGGCAGCACAGCCACTGCCTCGGTAACTCTACTTTACCTTAACTCTAGCTGTCGCGAAGCCTTTGCGACTGCTTATTTCTCAGTCGTGACTGAAGAGGTGACCCATCAACCAAAACCCTTCGTAGGTGGATCCTGTTCTCCCTGAGAGGTGTTATTCTGGTGGGGAAGCCTTGTCCAAGCCTGGCTGCTGGATTGGTTCTCTGCTGCAGGATGGCTTGTCGTCTCAACATTGGGCAAGAACGTGGCACTAATGAGATGTTCTGTATTTCAGGCTTCCTTCCTTTCGGACCAACCTGAGCCTTACCTCCCATTCCTTTCACACTTCATCGAAACACAGATGTTTGCAACCTTCATAGACAATAAGATAATCTCCCAGTGGGAAGAGAAGGACCCTTTTCTGCGAGTTTTTGACTCCCGGATTGAGAAAATAAGGCTATATAATGTCAGGGCCCCTGCGCTGCGGACATCCAACTATCAGAAGTGCAGCACTTTGAAAGAAGCAGGTATGTTCAGACAGGCTAGTAAAATATTCAGAAGTACAATGTCAGCCTTAAGAAATATAGGTACTCAGTCATCTGAGCGTTGCCGCTGCTGAGGAAGCCCTAGAGCTACCTGAGAAGGTCTCAGCCGTGTTCTTATTTTCTCTAGGCAAAAACTTCAGCATGCTTTTCAACACCAAAACCAGCAGGAGCCTTTACCTTCCTTTGAGCTCTTCTGGGCTGGTGCCTTTAGTAAACACAAACCAAACGAGGGAGCTGGGCATTCTCATTTCAGGCAGCTCCTGTTCCGTTGCCAGGAGAGCTTTCCTTCACCATGGGGTTGGGACCAGTGCCAGCCATGCTGAGGAGCTGAGCCCCAGTGTCTCTTCCTCTGGCCTCATCTCCCCTTTCCCATAAAAGTACCCTTTTTTTGCCTTACGCCATTTGGTGGGAGCAGCGGGGGATGCTGGGGACCTAATCCTGTGTGACATATTTAGCAGCTTCAGCAATAGATGCACAGTGTTAATGAGCAATACCCTGTGTACTTAAGGTTTGGATTTTTTTTCCCTTTACTGTCACAGGATACACTTTCAAATTATACTTGAGTTTCATACTGTGCAAGTACTTACTTAATTTCTAAGTATTACAGGGAAATTGTACTCGTACATTTGTTGGGACACATTAGTGAGGTGGGGCAAACACATTTCTCATGGTTTGGGTTGGGGTTTTTTGGGGTTTTTTTGTTTGGCTTAATACCTTCAGAGTGTTTTGCTTGTTATAAATATGACAGAAATAGAAATCCTGTGTCTGCTTACCTTTTTTTACCTACAGCCAATTCTAATTTGCAGGTCAACTGTCTATGCAGCGTCTAGTTTTGATAGATATTGTAGCACCGGAACCTCATTTTCTGTCTTGTGAAAAGCAGCAAACTGATTGTAATACCAACTTTCCTTCATCTTTACTATTCACAGTATATGTGATCCCAGCACCAATCCAGCACCTGTTTGTTTAACCTACTGTTTTCAGAACCCTACAAAGCTCTGACACCACACTACCCAGTCCTTTTTTCTGAAATAATACAAAGTGATTTCTTTCTAGAGAAGGTAAAAAAGCTGCCGAGTTTCTAATGATAATGTATTTAAATCTCATGACAGTTTCTTTCCCGTCACAGTTTTGTGAAATAGGAAAGGACTTCTGTGTTGCTCTTGACAAATTGAAAATGGATTTAGTTCCACACTTTCCATATTTATTCACTAGTCGTGATATGCTGAAAAGAATAGGCCTGCCCATTAATGGATGGGCTATAAAGAGGTGAATATTAAAGCTGCTAATTAAATGCTGCCTTCCCTCATACACCACCTTTCCCCTCTCCTTCACAGTGCATCTGACTCAGTGTTGAGAGGGTGACAGATTTTATTTTCATCCTGCTCAAGATTTGCGATGAAATCCTCGCATCCTTGAAGCATTACTTCATTAAAACTGAACCGCAGTAGTCTCAGAGGAGCCCAGATTCCCAGGAAGCCCTCTCTGGTTTTGCCGTAGCCTCCCCTGTTTCCAAGCATCTGTTCATCTTCTCGATGCTGCTCAGGCCTTGCTACAGTTAACGATGCTTTTGGAAGGCCTCTCATCCAGTAATGGCACGTACAATTTCAAGGGGAGGTTCATTACAGGTGCCAGATGTTTGCAAAACTTGGGTGTCGCCCCCCCAGGGAGATGTGACTGGGGCAAAGCGAGGTGCCCGACCCCCCAGCGAGTTGTGGCTGGCCTCAGAGGTCTCGTTCTGCTGCAGGAGCCCCAAAGCCAAACACTGAGTTGCAGGGAAGGATTGCACTGCTCTTGCCGATTCACAACCCGTCTCGTAGGCTCCCATAAACACCCGTTTGCTTAACGGCTAACTTGTTTGCGCCAATACTAGTTGTGTGGGTGAAGAAACTAAAAGCAAAATAACAAAATAACAGCACGGATGTTTCCTTACTTCGGTAAGCGACAGATTTCTGGGTCTACAGTCACTATTCAACTTCTTAGAGCGTTTTCAGGGTTTGGAGCATGACCACTTCTGTTGTCGTAGCACGTGTCTTCAGGTGGTTTGCAACGCAGTTGTTCACCTGTGACTTAACTTGCAGCCCAGTCCATCGAGCAGCGGCTGATGAAGATCGATCACACTGCCATCCACCCGCACTTACTTGATATGAAGATTGGCCAAGGGAAATACGAACAAGGGTTTTTCCCGAAGTTGCAGTCGGATGTCTTGGCAACGGGGCCTACCAATAACAAGTAAGCACAGGTTTTATGTTCTGGTTTTAGAGCAGATTTCTCATATAAAGGATTCACATCATTGGACAGTAGTCCTAATTTTGGATGGCTTCTGACCAGTCTAACGAACGCTTGCAACTCTTTCCGTTTCTGGTTTGTACCGGCTGTGATTTTGAAGTTACAGCCATGGTTTGGGTTATATTAGAAAGCATTGCCTCTGGTTTTGGGAAGATTCCTCAGTGCTGTTTTCTGTTTGAGTGGTAAGTACTGTGTCTTCTCATACATATTTTCAGTTTTACCATTGCTGTAATAAATTTAAAATTTGTTTTCTCACCAACTTGCACTGGCTAGGATAATTTCAGAAACCCAAGACAAAATTCAGATTCTGAAAGAAATCTTGGTATTAAAGCCCCCACAGCATTGTGCAGAATTAAATTAGTGGCCACTCTGTGCCTCTCTTCTTTAGCTGTCATTACATGACCCCAAGATGTTTATAGCTCTCAGTCTGCACGTTGGAATAACCTGAAAGAATAACTTGGTGAGGGTGGAGAGTGTGGTTCTGTACCTGGGTTTCTCTTCTGAGTCTGGTAAGGTTCTGTAGCGCACTTTGGTATGAAGGTGGGGGTATCTATAGCTGTGGAACTGAGCATGTCATCATGTAGTTAATTTTCCTGATGTCAAATGAAAACCTGGAGTACTAATACACTTACACAGTTGTAAAGTAAGTGCTGTAAGTTACTTTTTTTTTTTTCCTTTCAACCCCATGATGGGGTGTTTCTGCATCTTCAAAAACAGGAGATTTGTGCATCCATGATTACTACTTCATGAAATTGTTAGCTTGAGCCCTCACTTCCAGTTTCTGTGGTAGGTCAAAATGGGAGCACAGGTAAATCTGAGTTCCAAAAGCCACAATTGTCCAAGTGTTAAAGCTAGCTCTTGTTTTAGACATGTGCATGCACACACGCGTCTCTGAGCTCGTGTGAGGTGCCCACTCATTTCTATTTATACACTTTTTGTGCACCCCAGTGCTAGCTAATCCCTTTTTAATAACCTGCTGAAAATAAGACTTGCAAATGATAAACTAAGATATCCTTAATCTTTCAATGTATAAAGAACTGCAATTCTTTAAAAGAAAGGGGGGGGAAAACCCCAATCAAAAGGAGGAATGTCTATTTCAAAGTTCCTTTGTTTGCAGTCATCTTGCAAACCAAGACAAACGTTTATGGGTAATGGTTCCTTGTGGGGTGGAAGATTTCTTCGTCTGGTGGGATGCTGTGTTTAGCAGTCTGCCTCTTATCCTTATGGTGGGTTTCAGTTTTACAGCGTCAGTAACAGGGTGAGTGTGCCCAGCCTGCTCAGTCGCTTGTATCTTCTGCCTCTAATGCAGAATCTTAGTGAATCTATGAATAAGCATCAAATTAAAAATAGTTTCCCTTATGCCTTTTGAGATGTTTCTCTTAGATTGGTACCTATTCTAAAATGTGACTTAAACTCCTTGAGTGATAATTCTGATTTACATAGCGGGTTTTGGTCTTCAGATTGCAGCATGTTTCAGAATTTATAAGTACCAAAATCCCATTACTTAACACAAAGTGGTGTCAAAGTGACAAATGTTTGGAAATCCTCCAGTTGTATATTGCCAAAAAGGTTTGTAATTGGAAAGTCTCAAGACCATCTGTTTATATCTTTCTGCTCCCTGGCTTTATGTGTGAGCAACTGAGAGGACTCTCTCTCTCGCGCATTTAAGACATGTAATTCTGCTGAATTTACACCCACGTATAAAACAGATAGCCTTTTCATGCTCTCTGCAAATACAGCGTAATTCTTTGGACCACAAAATCAATTGAAGTATAGGTTTCCGTTAATTTGAACTTCCCAGCATGTGCTTCTTGGAGACATGTTATACTTGCATATGGGACTGGGCCCTCACATATGGGGATGGGGGAAGAGAACATCTCAGCTACATTCCCAGGCACTTCAGATATAGCTGTTTTGTGTGTTCATAAAGTTAATGCAAAGGATATTTTTATGTAGATAAGAATTCATTTGTAGATGTCATTTCTACAAAGCAAATTCTGTCCTGAATCTTGTAAGGAAGGGGCTTTGTCGAGGGGAAAAAAATCATCCGGTTGATTGTTGTTGAACAGTAGCAAATAAACCAATTCAAAGCTGTTTTAATGAAAATTTGTCCTCGCTGGCCAGCAATCAGACTTTTATTGCTTCCCTTTCTGGATAGAGAAAGTAGAAAACATATAACTAGAGCTCATAATGTTACCTAGCTATTCCCTTCCTGTAGTCAGGCAGAGCACTGAAGGGACCTCTGTCAGTTACTGGGCTGTTATAGGTATAATATATTACTTCTAAATCAGAAATATAATACAAAGACCAAGAGCTTTTAGTCTGTTTAGTCCTGGATCCTATATGTGATCCCAGAAAACCACACTGCCTACAGACAGAAATGGTGTTTGGGAGCGGAGGTGTCTGGCTCTTGCTTGCTGGGCATGGAGAGTGGGACTTGGGGACAGAGGGAGGGTTGACAGTCATCCTGGATCACTTCCACTTAAACATGTCTGGAGACGAGGGTTGATCACTTTGCCATGTGTAAGTGTTAGAACACTGAAGTCTGTCAGAAAAGTGAAGGCTAATAACGTTTCCTCTGTCAGCCCGTGGCCGTGCTCAGCAGCATGCTTTGCCCCACTTCCATCACTCTGCTGCCTCCTCCCACTTCCCCCTGAGATGCCCTCTGAAAGACTGGACAAGGGGTGACCCTGTGCCCCCCTGGCCCTAGCAGCAAGGATTATGCTAGCTTTCTGCCCTCTGCTTGCTCATTTGGGGGTCGGGAGCGCAACTCCTGCTGCATTCGCTCCCGTTTGGGCCAGCACTCAGACTGCAGGTGCACGCGTGGTGTCGGTGGGGCTGGGCTTTACCTCTTCCCCCATGGCGCTCAGGAAGCGATGACTTGCTCAGCTAAGCAAGAACTTCACTGAAAATAACTCTGAACTGCATTTCACTGGAAAGAAGTGAAAAGTTTAAAAACAAATTAAAAAAACCCACCAAACTACCCACACAACAGAAAATCAACAAAAACCTCAAACAACAGAACCCCTCCACCCCAAGCCCCCACCTCCATGAAACTGAAGAGGTGGCTCCCAGGTTATACAGTTGCCCTAATCATCTTTTTAATCAAAACTGCCAGAACAAGGGCCACTTCATGGGAAAACCTGAGTCTGCAGCCAGCAGCTGCAGGTCCCTCTGGGTTCGGAAGTGGCCCATCCGTGCAGCTCTACCCTTGTAGAGCAGCAGGTTCTGCAGGAGCCCTCCTAGAAGGTGTCCCAGGAGAAAATGGGCTGCAGCCCCTTAGGGAGTTTGTCTGTTAATCTGGAAAAGAGCAGCAGTTTCCGGAGTCATCTGTTCCTTTAATGCAACCCCCAGCACTGCATTGTGGTTTCTACGTGTTCCCCTCTTCCTTCCCTGCATGCGTTTTCTGCCAAGCCTTTAAAATTGTAGCTGGGACTCTTCTGGCTGATGTATTCACAATGATCCAGGAGAGGAATTTGAATGACAAAAAGCCAAGCTATATAAACACTTCATGGGTTTTGATGAGCTAATTCTTAAATTAGGGTGAATATGCTTACACTGCAAAATTAAAACAATGAAACAAGCTGTGTTTTCAGTCTAATTGATTACCTTGTAACTTAATTTGTACTAAGAAGCTTGATAAATGAGATTAAATATTGCAGAGGAAAACATTGATTGCACACCAAGCATGGGAATGTATTTGCATTCTGGCAATTTGTGGTGAATGCCTGCAAAGAACAACTGAACTGATACATTTTTTTTTTCTCTTCGTTTTTTTTCTCTTCGTTTTTTTCTCTTGGTTTTTTTCCTTTTCAAGGGAAGGTTGTGTTTTGTTACACACTTACAGAATGGCTTAAATTACTTTTTTTTTGCCTTTCTCTTTGTTTAGCCCTGCTTTTTTTTCCCCCCACCTTCTTTATCTGCGCCCCACTTTCCTCCTTGCTTCCTCTTCTGACCAGCCTGTTTCCTCTTTCCTGCCCTCTGTAGCCCTCTGTCTTGTATCCCGGCTTCCTGTGAGCTTGGTGCTTTTGTCTGTCCCCTGAGTCCAACCTGACCTGCAGCCATCCTCAAAAGAGGGCGCAGCCCAAGTCTTCAAGCGCAGATCCTGCTGTACTCAGCCTCCTAGCCTCAGGCTTTAGCTCAGGTCATACGTTGTTCTTGCCCGTAAAGTAGATCTCAAATTACTCATTTGCTTCCTCCAGGCATTTGTTCCTGTGCTGTGCTTTGCTGACCTTGCCACTGTGTCATATTTATTTGTAAAAGATGTGCATTAGAAGTGTAGGAAATTGGTTGGGTCTTGGGCTCCAGTTTATGACTTGTGTGGGCACTGTCCTGGGGCTTCCATCACCGGCCCACCCTGCAGGTTCTGAACTGCACAGGGTCTGTCTGCCTGGTGCTCTGGTTCTCCTCATTTTTAAACAGAGCTACTCTTTGCTTACTCACCAACAGTTACACTGATGGATGTTTTAAAGAAAATGTGAGATAGATACATAGAGATAGGTAGATATCATAGAATGGTTTGGGTTGGAAAGGACCTTGAAAGATCATCTAGTTCCAACCCCCCCTGCCATGGGCAGGGACACCTTCCACTAGACCAGGTTGCTCAGAGCCTGGTCCAACCTGACCCTGAATATTTCTAGGGATGAGGCATCTACCACCTCCCTCGGCAACCTGCACCAGTCTTTCACCACCCTAACTGTAAAAAAAATTATTCTTATAGCTAGTCTGAATCTACCCTTTTTTAGTTTAAAACCACTACCACTTGTCCTGTGACAACAGGACCTCTGAAAATGTTTGTCCCCATCTTTCTCATAAGCCCCCTTTAAGTACTGAAAGGCTGCAATAAAGTCTCCCCAGTGCCTTCTCTTCTCTTTTGTACCTTTTTGCTGAATCTCTGCATGATGATAGAATTCATTCTGGTTTTAACTAAATTATTTTTTTAA